TGCAGTCTGTTTATCAGTAGGACAATATTTAATATTAATTTTACCCTTTTTATAATTTTCATGAATAAAATAGTATCTCACATCAATGTGTTTGGATCTTTTATTGAATGAACCTGTTTTGATCAGCTGAATAGCGCTTTGGTTATCAACATTTAATGTAATTTCAACTTCAGAACCAATCAACTCCTTTAAAAATGACATTAAATATAAGCATTCCTTACAGCAATCAGCTGCTGCAATATACTCTGCTTCGGTTGATGATAATGCAACGATTGGTTGTCGTTTTGAACACCAAGACACAGGTCCTTCTGCTAACATTATCACAAATCCGGTTGTACTGCGTCTAGTCTTGATACAATTGGCATAGTCTGCATCACAGTATGCATTTAGTTTTGAAATATCTCCTCCTTTCTTGTACATGATTCCTTTCTGTCTTGTTCCATTTAAATATTTTAGAATTTTCTTTGCAGCTATCACATCATCTTTTGTAGGGTTTTCTATTTTTCTGCTTGTTTCATTTACAGCTTGACTTATGTCTGGCCTTGTTCTTGTAGATACATATAGAAGTCCTCCAATCAGTTCTCTATATGGAAAATTTATAGTATCTGTGTTTTGCGTTTCTGTTTTATTTTCTGTATTGCAGGGTGTCTTAACAGGTTTAGAATGTTCCATACTAAATTTCTTTAATAAATTTTCAATGTAGCTTTCTTGTTTCAGTGTTATACCTTTCTCAGTCTTCTTGACTTCAAATCCGATAAAAGTAGTAGGATCATTGTATACTTTTATTTCAAATTCCTTTTCTAGGCAGTTTAAAATGTTTTTTAATGTTTGCTTTTCTTTAGCCAAAGCAAGTCCATCATCTACATAGATTGCTATTATTATTGTATTATCTTCATTTGTAAATACACACTGATCTGTTTTAGTAGCTTTTAAACCAAGTTTTAACATTGCTTTTGTAAATCTTTTGTTCCATGTAATAGGAGCTTGTTTTAGTCCATATAAGGATTTCTTTAATCGACAAACTTTCCCAGGTTGTTTTTCATAACCATCCGGTATATTCATATACACATTTTCTTCCAGCTCTCCATATAAAAATGCAGTCTTAACATCAAATGTCATCATGTTATAGGTGCAAATAAAGATTTTAAAGTTGACTGACTGACAACTGGACTGTATATTTCATTGTAGTCAATACTGTTTTGTTCAAATCCTCGTACAACAAGTCTAGCTTTATAAGTCCCATTATCTTTCACACGGAATACCCATTTGTTTGTAAGTATTTTACTATCTTTTGCCTCTTTCTTGTCTACTACTTCCCAGGTATTATTGATTTCCAAGGATTCCTTCTCCGAATTTATGGCCTTCTCCCAGTTTTTTCCCTCTTTAGATGTTACAGCCTCTCTGTAAGTAAGTAAACTGTAGTCTTTTAAATGTATTGGTATGTGTTTAATTCTCTTGCTTCTTCTTAGGTAACCGTCTTCTTCATTCTGTCTGTTTCTTTCTCTTTGTGTGTCTTCTGATTCAGTTTCTGATACTACATCTTCATAAGTCTCATCATTTTTATTATCTTCTGTTCTGGTATCTTCTGTTGTCTCTTCCTGCTGTTCTATAATCTGTTCCTGGTTTTCTGTTGTCTCTTTCTGGTTGTCTATAGTCTCTTCCTGGTTTTCTGTTGTCTCTTCCTGGTCTGTCTCTTTTTCATAATTTTCACTTTTATTATTATTTATTTTCTTAGTTTTCTTTCTTTTGTTCAATTTCACTTTTTACTATCACTATGTCCCTTGATATCTCTATTTTTCTCTCCTTGTCATTCCACAGTCTGTACCCATTATTAGTGTATCCAATCATTATCAGTTTCTTGCTTCTAGGATCCAGTTTCTTTACATTTGGATGTAACTGTTTTGCATAGACAGTAGAACCAAAACTTTTGCATATTAGATATATTAGGCTTTTTTCCAACCCACATTTCATATGGTGTTTTGTTTTTTAGGGCATCACTTGGTAGTCTGTTTAAAATATAAGTAGCACAATATATTGCTTCACCCCACATTTCTTTGTTCAATTTAGAATCAAAGAGTAATGCTCTTGTTTTTTCTAATAATGTCCAGTTTAGGCGTTCAGCTTTTCCATTTAATTGTGGTGAGTAGGGCACTGTGTAGTCTAATTTTATACCTTTTTGTTGACAAAATGCTTTAAAATCATTACTTGTATATTCACCTCCATTGTCGCATCTTATAATTGATACTTTACTATTTTTCTCTCGCTCCGTTTCTTCAATATAATTTTTTATTTCTTCTTTTGCATCGCTCTTGTTTTTAAGTAAATAGCTTTTTGTAAAATGACTGTAGTCGTCCATTATTGTTAAAACATACCTGTATCCATCATAAGTTTTTTCTTCGAAGGGACCACATATGTCTGTGTGTATTATTTGTAGGTACCTTTCAGCACGAGTTCTGATTGTATTAAATGGTAGTCTTGACTGTTTTGCTTCAGCACATATTTTACACTGTTCTTGTAATACTTTTAGTCCTTGTATATTTATGCCGTCTGCAACTTTTGTTAGTGTTTCTAGTACTGATTTACCTGGGTGTCCCAGTTTTGCATGCCATTCCAATGCTGTTCCATTTACTTGTGTAAGTAAGGATTTATTTTTATTTTTCAGTTCTTGTTCTAAATTCACCCTGTATAAGCCATTTTCTTTTTTGCCGGTTAAAATTAATTTTGAATTTTTGTAAATCTCCACTTTATTCTTTGTGAACACAACAGAGCCATCATTGTTGGTAACACAATTTACAGACAAAAGGTTTTGTGCTAGGTCTGGTATAAATAAAGTATTTTGTAAATCACATGACATTCCATGGACAGTACCTGAACCTTTTGCTTTCATTTTTTCACCATTGGCTGCATAAACTGTAGAATCCATTTCTTCAAAATTGCTTAAAATGCTAATATCATTTGTCATATGCACTGTGCTTCCAGAATCTACTATGAATTTTATTGAAGCCTGTTCAGAGTTTTGTGTCAAAAAAGTAACATTTTTATGTTTCTTACTATTACCTTTTTTCTTAAAGAAACAATTTTCTTCTGTGTGATTATTTTTCTTACAAATTGAACAACAGCTGTTTTTAACTTACAATCTTTCTCTTCATGGTTATATCTTTTACAAAAAATGCACATCTTACAATCCTTTTTTAGATGACCTATTTTGTTACATTTAAAGCATTTTATGTTTTTATTCTCCGCCTTAAAAGCAACCTGTTTGTACTCAATTTTCCTTTCTATAAATCTGTTTTCTTCTGATAAAAGTCTGTTAGTTAAGTTGGTAAGTGTCTTTTTGTCATCAGGTGTTGATTCCCATGCTGTGATGAAGAATTTATATTGATTTGGTAAGCAGGTTAATATTTTAGAAATTACCATGTCATCATCAATATTTTGTTTAAGATTATTTAATCTCATCCTCAAGTTTTCTATATCGGTGATCAACTGTGACATTGTCTGGTTTTCAAATTTGAAGTTAAAGAAATCTTGTAATAAGGAAGACTTGTTTCTTTCTTCAGATCCTTCAAATATTGCACATAGCTTATTGTACATTTCATGTGCATTTTGTATCGGAATCAAATTGTGGGCGAATTTTGCGCAATTTAGATGTGACCTTTTAATTTTCTATCTATGGAGTTTAAAATCAACTTCTTTACCTTAGCATCCTTAGTTTGGAATTCTGGTTTTTCTCTCTGTTCTGGTTTTGTTTCTTTCAACACTTCCGACAGATTCGATGCCGAAACATGTATATTTATCTCAAATTTCCAGATGTGGAAATTTTCAGAGTTCGTAAGTTTTTCAATATTTTTTCTTGGTTATTCATTTTGTTTTATTTTTTCTTTTACACTTTTCTCACTCTGGGCGTCTGGTTCTGGTTCTGGGTAGTCTCGGGTTTTGTATGGGCAACAATGAAGGGTGTGGAGATGCTCAGACGAGAGAAAACAAACCTTTTATTAATATATATTCTTTATTTAACTGGACATTACTGGTTTTACTGTTTTTACATTTTCTTAGAGACCATAGTGTTATGACGCTACTCTTCTATATCCTTTTTTATACTAGTGTCGTGCTACAGCGCACACTTCTTAATAGGGATGTACCCACTAACACCTTCTCCTATTATTAAAATTGTTTACAATTTAAATAATACTTGTTATTCTATGCTATCAAATTTTAAATTATACAAATTTTAAGTAGATGTTTCTTAAGTTATATACATATATCATGAACTTATTTAGTTGACAATATTTTGAGCGTGAAAATTAAATTTATTATTTAACAATGGTTTTGTAAATATGTCTGCAGGTCCTTCTGCTAACATTATCATAAATCCGGTTGTACTGCGTCTTGTCTTGTTACAATTGGCATAGTCTGCATCACAGTATGCATTTAGTTTTGACATATCTCCTCCTTTCTTGTACATGATTCCTTTCTGTCTTGTTCCATTTAAATATTTTAGTATTTTCTTTGCAGCTATCACATCATCTTTCGTAGGGTTTTCTATTTTTCTGCTTGCTTCATTTACAGCTTGACTTATGTCTGGTCTTGTTCTTGTAGATACATATAGAAGTCCTCCAATCAGTTCTCTATATGGAAAATTTATAGAATCTGTGTTTTGCGTTTCTGTTTTATTTTCTGTATTGCAGGGTGTATTAACAGGTTGAGAATCTTCCATACTGAATTTCTTTAATAAGTTTCCAATGTAGCTTTCTTGTTTCAGTGTTATACCTTTCTCAGTCTTTTTGACTTCAAATCCAATAAAAGTAGTAGGATCATTGTATACTTTTATTTCAAATTCCTTTTCTAAGCAGTTTAAAATGTTTTTTAATGTTTGCTTTTCTTTAGCCAAAGCAAGTCCATCATCTACATAGATTGCTATTATTATTGTATTATCTTCATTTGTAAATACACACTGATCTGTTTTGGTAGCTTTTAAACCAAGTTTTAACATTGCTTTTGTAAATCTTTTGTTCCATGTAATAGGAGCTTGTTTTAGTCCATATAAGGATTTCTTTAATCAACAAACTTTCCCAGGTTGTTTTTCATAACCATCCGGTATATTCATATACACATTTTCTTCCAGCTCTCCATATAAAAATGCAGTCTTAACATCAAATGTCATCATGTTATAGTCTTTAGAAGCAGCAAGTGCAAATAAAGATTTTAAAGTTGACTGACTGACAACTGGACTGTATATTTCATTGTAGTCAATACTATTTTGTTCAAATCCTCGTACGACAAGTCTAGCTTTATAAGTCCCATTATCTTTCACACGGAATACCCATTTGTTTGTAAGTATTTTACTATCTTTTGCCTCTTTCTTGTCTACTATTTCCCAGGTATTATTGATTTTTAGGGATTCCTTCTCCGAATTTATGGCCTTCTCCCAGTTTTCTCCCTCTTTAGATGTTACAGCCTCTCTGTAAGTAAGTAAACTGTAGTCTCTTAAATGTATTGGTATGTGTTTAATTCTCTTGCTTCTTCTTAGGTAACCGTTTTCTTCATGATGTCTGTTTCTTTCTCTTTCTGTGTCTTCTGATTCAGTTTCTGATACTACATCTTCAAAAGTCTCATCATTTTTATTATCTTCTGTTCTGGTATCTTCTGTTGTCTCTTCCTGCTGTTCTATAATCTGTTCCTGGTTTTCTATAGTCTCTTCCTGGTTTTCTGTTGTCTCTTTTTCATCATTTTCACTTTTATTATTATTTATTTTCTTATAGTTTTCTTTCTTTTGTTCAGTTTCACTTTTTACTATCACTATGTCCCTTGATATCTCTATTTTTCTCTCCTTGTCATTCCACAGTCTGTACCCATTATTAGTGTATCCAATCATTATTAGTTTCT